TTACAACCCCTTTATCCTTCAGCTTATGGCTGGATTGAGAAATCCAGATATTTGATAAAATCACTAGTCATGACTGTTACTTGAATGACTGATTAAGCTAGTTGGCAACGACAAATCAACTTGTAGATGGCATGATGTTCATTCGGGGTTGAAAGAGCAAGCTCAATAATGAAACAGAAGAAGGAAGAAGAAGGAACAGGTGAAGGGCCAGTGCAGGATAAGAGATTTGATAATTTACCCCCTTCAAAAGAGCATACAATTTGTAGTCTAAACACCTTTAGAAGCAAATGTTACAGAGGCTTATGTAACCCTACTTTTCAAATGTGAAATATTGTTATAACAGTAGCTAGCTACATTATGGCTATACATTTATAGCATATAGAGTAAAAAGCTTTTAGTTAAACAAAGTATTTTCTATTCACGTCAAATATACAAAGAACATTCGTGATTGTTACGACGACAATAGACGATGTCTAGATACGTACTTACGATATTGTCAGAAACACATTTTTACTCCAGTCTATCCGTAGAAGCGGATTCGTAATAACATGTTACTCTATAAAAACTTCACTAAGCCTTTTTATATTAGGTACATTGCTTTCTCAGATTTTTGAGATTTAGGTGTCTCTAGATTATCTTTCCTAGAACTGTTTTTTTTTCTGTCTAGGTAATGTAATGTAATAGGTCGGCAAGCGAGCACATGGATTACCTGATGGTAAGCAATCAGCGCCGGCCATGGACACTCGCAACGGAGGAGTTAAGAGTGAGTTGCCAACCTTTTAGGGATTAGGGATTTGGAGATTTAGGGATTGAGGAGGGATTGGGGGAGGGGAAGGATTGAGCCTCCGGTAACCTCACTCACACGGCGAAACAGAACGCTGTGGTTATTTCACGCCAGTTTTCTGTGAGGCCGTGATATCACTCTGGTCGAGCCGACCCATTCGTGCCGAAGCATGGCTCTCCCACGCTTAAAAAAATTGTTTCTTTCACAAGTCACTTAGAATGGTTTTACTATCAGTTGTTATAAAATCCTATCATATAATTATCGCTGCCATTAGGAGTATCGTTTATATATAGCTTAGAGCTTGTCAAGTGTCGTATTTGCCGCAATTTAAATTCGCGAAAATAAAACGAGCAACTTCTCAAAATTGGTTAAGCTCTTCAACCGCTCTAAGAAGACAAACAAAGAGACAAAAATAATTTAAATAGTAATATATTACGTATAATACACATTTGGTCAAGAAGTTGGGACCCTAACCCATATCAATCTATCAACAATGTCTTTATGGATCGTCTCAAAAACAAATGAAACGTTCGTAACATCAGCACAAAAATTGCTTCTGTCTACATCATATTTCATGGAGGTCAAGCCAGTAATATCTTATATTTGTTTTCCATTTCCTATTCCCAATAGTACAAGTCGTTGGTGGAGATTTTCTACGTCATTGGCTGTGACCCTTAGTAATAAGATTATTCAGAACAGATAGGTTTCAATGTCGCTAGATGGACTCCTTGAAGAGATATATGCGTGGTTCATGATTGTACCGCCTGACGTTACTTCTGTTTTTGCTGAATATATTGTTTTGTACAAGCCCTTTTGTTACGTTGATAATTTGGTTGTTGAAAATATTATTTTTGTATTACTTTTTCATCAACTTTTTGAGGTTTTGTTTTGACGACATAGTTTTTATGGTTAAAAGGTATAGTAATAGGCATTTGTTATAGATTTAGAAGTACACAGTGGAGGTTTAAGAAGGGGGTATTTAAGAAGGTATTTATACAGATTTCCTGGACATCCGTGCAACCAGAGAAATTGCAAGTCCTTTTGCAATCATGGATTTTAGGACTGCGTATAGTTCTACCAATAACCTTACTCTTACGTTTCCAGCTAGTTTTCTGTGAGGCCTAGGAATCACTCTGTTTGAGCCGGTACATTTGTGCCAGAGTATGTGATGGCACTCCCACATTTTCTCCTACACTGTTATTGCCAGACACGGAACTTTCAAACTTATTAGCTAGTGTTGTAAATTTCAAAATAGAATCTACAAGTAATCGTTACCTCACTCGATGATCAAACTCAAGAATACTTGATCACTTTACACGAATGAACAAAACGATAGATACAGCAGTTTAACAAGTTTTATTAAAGTGTAAGCTAATTTATATTATATTCGGTTATCTAGCAATTCTAATATTTATCTTTGATATTTGAAAATAGAACAGCAAGCTTCAGTGTTTGTTCTAAATATGATTTGAAATAGTATTTTATAAGTGTTTATTCTGTACTTAAAGGCAAGATTGTTACCTATTTACGTTGGCGTTAAGAACTCGCGTGGGCTGCTAGACCTACGAGCCGCACTTTGTTTCCGTGTAAAGTGAACACTAATACTTGAATATTGATTCAAATCGAAAAGCCTTTATGGGCATTGAGTGCGGAAGGCACAGTCCACTGTGTAACTAACTATTGAATACGAATCGTCTCTATTCCAATGTAATAAAGATGGTTTTAGCATGGCTGTACAGTTGGAGTGTGCTTGTAATATTTATGTAATAAAACAATTCCGAAGAAGCATGTCTGTTAGTTTGCTAGTGCTTACTTTGTTATAGTCAATTGCTCAATAGAATTGATATATAATTTTTAATGTTTAACATTTGGCGTAGCTTTTACGAGTACGGTACACATTACCAGTGTAAAACCTATAAATTGCAATTAGCAGATATTATTAAACATGGGCCTTCCCCAACTTCGGGGACATACAATAATCACCGGCCTCGGAACCGTTGATAATAGCAATAAGAACTCATTAGCGCACAGGTGGATGTAACTGCCCATCCCCTTTCGAAGACCCTATGTCACGTCTTACGACACTCATGGGAAACGATGGGGTGGGCCCATTATTTAGCGGAAATAATATTGTAATAAAACGAAGCCTAAAACGTGAAATTAATTCGCCACACACGTTATAATGCAAGCGATTCTGTCTGTGTTTGAATTGAAATTCAACAGAAGTCCTGTCAATGGATAAAAATTCAGAGTGTATCGTGATGCTAAACGATGGCACACTTCTAATATTTGAAACAAAATTTAAAAAAAGTGATGGATGTTAGTTTTTGGTAAATAATGCAAAACAGAAGTAAAATTATGCAGTTTTCAACTTACAAAAAAAACTTACTTATAGCTAGACTTATAATATGATGATGTGTAATTCAGAATTAAACAGGATGATTGGGAGTTACGCTTCTTAGAATAAAAAAAAAACTCGTTATCGCCGTCTACTGAGTGTAAAAAAATGTTCAACTAACTCTGCAGTATTACTAATCCCAGAAACTTAAAAAAAACAAACCCTTTAAAAATCATGATAAAATTTCTAAATTATTCTAAAACCTAATCGATGATGGGCCATCAAAATAAGTATGATCTGAATGTGACCTAAAAGGTTCAACTTTTGATTGCTTTTTGATATGCAAATCACTACCTTTATACGTACGTAATACGTTGTATTACTGTGTAATGATATTCACATTATTAAACAGACTATAAACCACCAACAATGACAGGAAATATAATTTGCAAAATCGTGGGTACATTAGCAATTTAACAAAGAAACATACCTACTGCCCAGTGTGTTCGTATTGTCAATCAATCCACCTCTGCATAGAGGTTGGTTATCACGCTAAACACGTGTATGTAGGGACGTCAACGCCACGGTTCGTTCACATGAACTGTTGATTTTCCTAGCCACAGTTCAGGTTTGACACAGAAAGGTATAAAGCAATGTTTTTGAGAATTTTAAAAACTAGAGTGTGATATTTTTTGTGGACAACAAATTAAATTGAATGATAATAATTTTGATATATTTTTTTTATTCACGATATATGTAAGAAAGCGTTTGCTTCAATCATTTTATAATAATATAGATTAGTAATAAATTAGAGAAGATTCAATTTTCTTGTCCCGTTGGAACAACAGTGATACTGTTATGACTTCTGATTCTGATTATAACTATCGAAAAGCGTACGTTGATGGTTTAAGTATTAACTGTTCTTATTGATAAAACATTAAAGCAGCAGTACATATTAGGCGGTTGCCTATTTGTAAACTTAAGATTTAATGTCATTTAATTAGCCTACATGCATTCACTGTCAATCAATCTAGCAGCAGCTGGCTGTCACGCTAAACACGCGACGTCATGCTTTGTTCCACATGAGTCACCGACTGTTAAATCCTTTGCTTTTTTCTGAACAACGCTGACAATTTCCCACACATGATAAATCTTTCTTCGGAACACAATCAGCGTCGATGCCATGACGCCTATTATCGTAAAGATAACTCGTGCCCGTTGCATGCTACTCATTGCAACAAACGAGTTATGAATTATTTATCGGACAAAGCAATATATTCTAATTATCCTGTCTTATTTACGACGTCAAACGCACTCATTTATCGCATAAATCGGTATTAAGTTCCACGGCTACCGACTGAAGTAACGATTGCATACCGATAATCGTAGATAGTAATAAGACGGAGTACTATTCAAGTAAAAAGATCCTTATTTCACACGCGATGCACGCGAAAAAAGTAATCGCTTAGCAATGTTTTAACCCCCGCGCGTTCACGGCGATACCTTGTCACGGCAATGTCACACTGTCAACGCTCGTGCGATTGTGACACGCAAAATTTAAATCGGCTTTATAGGTGTCACAACAAAAGGTATCCATGCGACCATTCGAGGGATATATTGTCTTGTCTTTTGTTGTCAATTTTGCTATCAACTGGTACGTGTTAAAAATCGATACCGATTGTGTACCGATTGACAATTTTATTGAATGTAGAATGCATCATATTTTTTAGGTTGTATTTTTTGCATTTTACTTGTTACTTTTATACTTAGAGTGGAAGTTAAATTAAGAATTATAATAAATATTATTTTGTGATGCCAGTCCAGATGTAATTTATTGCTATTGCTGTTGGAACTGATTTCAGATTCATACATTGTTTATTAGACTGCATTAGACGCGACGGACTGCATTAGGACACATACCCAAGCAAGCCTTGGATTAGAATCCCCAAGGGAAAAGAAAGCGTGGCCGTCCACGGCAAACCTGGCATCGCACCGTACTGGCAGTAGCGACGAGCATCGGTATGACGTGGAGTGAGGTGAAGCGTGAAGATCAAGACAGATCGCGATGGAGAACTTCAGCGGAGGCCCTCTGCCCCATCTAGGGCATTTTAGCATTTTTCGAAGTCCACAAACCTGGGCAGCTGAAGAAACGAGTTGGTCAGTACGACTGTGGTCAGTACGACTGTGGTCAGTACGACTCTGACACTCCCTGTGAGAGGACATTTTTCGAAGTGCACAAACCTGGGCAGCTGAAGAAACGAGTTGGTTTTAAGTCAGTACGACTCTGACACTCCCTGTGAGAGGACTCCTTTGATGATTTTCTTCCTCAAAAAAGTATATTTATGGTATCTTAAAACGATTTAAACACTAATTTGAACCTACACCTGCACAACCACCTCACTGTTTTGCAAAAACTCGTTCTGATATACCTACATACTTATCTCATTAAGCTATATTAAATCCTATAAAATGTTAACACAAAAATGCTAATGCTAATTTGATGTTCCATATCGAAGCTCAAAAGAAAATAATACTCGATTAATATCATTTTTATTTAGCTTATCTTAAAATGCTATGTGAGAATCCTTGTTTTCATCTGTGTGTGTAACTTTAGAAGGCCATTTTGTCTTTGTGAGTTAGTGTGAAGATAAAAAATACTTAAATGGTTTGTTGTTGATCCAAGATTATGGCAACGAGGTGCTAAAGGGATCGAAAAAAACTAAAAATGTGTGAAACGTATCAAGTGTGAATTTAAGCCGCGAATGGTTTCGTAATTTGTTCTTTTTGTTTGAATTCTTTATTAGGACTGTTTAGCAAGAAGCCTATATATGTAGTTCTCTTTTTGAATTTTTAATTCAATTTTTAATAGGTAGCTGTCCTTTGTATACTTTTAACACTGGATAACTAACCTTTTTGGATTTGTTATGTCTATTGAACTTGTTGTAAATTCAACTCATAAATTATTCTTTTTTATTATATTATTGCAAACATTTCATTTAAATTATTTTTCATAAGAAAGATAATCTTAAATAGCAGTCATTGTATATAAACTGCTTCTAAATAAAGAGTTGTTTTATTTGTCACGCAAAGTAATAAATTATCTAAAAAGTTCTTTCTCTTCGTTTATTGTCCATGTAACATTGTGAGTACCTAATCATTAAAAAATATACCATGTTAGTTCAATTATTGTTATAAAATCATAAAATGTCTGATGAGGGCAAATGGGCAATGCAACGAACAAACAAGTTCCGAAAATTTATGAGTTTAAACAAAAAAAGAAGGTCTTACATGAAAACATACTGACGTGACGCTATCTTACAAACATTAGGCTTTTTTGTATAAGGAAATAAAATACCAACAGTGAAAAGTGTTTAATTGCCCATTTTTTATCATTTTCTTTTTTATTTTTATACCAATTTATTCTGATTAATAGTTTTGATTTTCGAATAGCACCTCCTGTTTATTTGTAATAGGGGTAATATTATCTTAATTTGTGCCTAAATATTTGTTGTATTTAATAATTAATTACAACAAATATTTAGGCAATAATAAATTACCTTACATCAATATACCTCTGATGATGATTTGCTTGAGGAATTTTATATTATGGCCTCCATATTTATATTTCCAACATTGTCCAACAGTTTCAACTGCTAAAACAAAATAAAAAGCTAATTACATATAAATACTTATTTTCTTTAGACTTTTAAATGTGTGTCGAAGAGTTGTCTCTTAGAATGTCGACACGTAACGTAACGTAAGTTTATAACAAGAAACGCATCCAAAGGCTAAGAAGTTAGGTTCATAGTGAGATATATTTATGTTCATATTATGCATGAGCAAATATCGTGTTTAATTAATTACATACTAACTAAGCCAGTAGACAAACAAACAATCATAATATTCTTTATTCTAGTTTGGTTTTAGCTTTGAACATGATAAAACTCTTACTACTTTGGACATGATAAAACACGAATACATGACACATTGAAAAGATATTTCATGATGATTTTTCAAAAAAGAAATTCTGTAAAAATATGTATATTGTGGGAGTTATGAACGACATGAAAATAAATAAATGGATTTCTTGAACTCTATGAGTGAAGTAGCTCGCTAGCTTGCAAAAGTCGCCTGTTTGACCACGTGATTAGGAAAGAGGTCTAATCTATTGATTATAATTATTAAAATTTTACCTCACATTACATCATCGGCCTACCGCTGCTGAACAAATGCCTTTTGCTCACGTGCTTTAAGCATATAAGGTTTGAGCAATATTCACCACGCTTGCCAGGGAGATCGACGATTTTAAATTAGAAAATATAAGACCAGGTTTTCTGACAATTTTTTTCTGTACCGTGGGTTGGTGTTTTAATCAACAAAAATACATTGGTATTTGCCAGGCTTCAATCCTCGCAGATTCGCTCACAGTGCGAGGCACGTTATTCTCCGATTCCACTACGAAAACCCAAAATTAACAAAGAGTTTATATAATATTTTTTTTTTCCACAATGCAATTGGCAATTGCAATATTTATTTACGTTCCAATATTCATTTTATGAATCGTTATTATATCAACTGAATTCAACATTGTAGGTACACTATAAGGTAATTTTGGAAGTTGAAAAATCCAACAACATTTTGCTTGACCCGGAGCTCGGGCCTTATGATCACTGTCTTGCGACTAGACGAACGAATTAAAAAGTTAATAACAAACTTATTATCAAAGATAGAACCGTGACGCGGCTTACAAACATTATTTATTGACATATTCGTTAGCGTGCTATAAATTACGACGAAAATATTCTACACTTAATGTTTTTCGACTAATAAAAATATGAAACTCATTTCAAATATTCGGTGAGATTCATTTGGGAGCGGCACAGAAACCTCATTTAGTTTACTCCGTTCGTTTTGTAATTAAGTTTGACTTTTTAAATTATTAGGAACAGTGGACAGGTTTCCGACATTGATTGTGGTCAAACCATTTTATTATCTCTCCAATGATTTAGTCGACTTAATTCACATTTTTTTCGCAATCATATCGGATACTTGATTGAAAATAGCTCGTTTTTTGCCATTCGTTTTGATATCAATAAATAATTGACTGGTCACCGTGTTAAAATTAGTGGAGACTATAATTCTGATTGCTTTGATGGAAAATATGCCTAGTATGAATATTATTAAAGTCCTTTCTGACTGTATCATGCCTGAGAGCATTATTAGGTGGTCCGGTAAAGTATTGATGAGATTTAGACTTATAAGAACGAAACGGAATAACATACGTTTTTTAAGAGGATATACCTATAACAGCCTTCTTTCTCTGTGTAAAAATAATATAAAAACTGTTATGTTAATATTAGCACTTTGTTAGCAACTAAAATGAAGTGTAGGAGAGTTACGCTTCGGCACGAATGGGTCGGCTCATCGAAATAACTACAGCATTGTGTTTAGCCGTTTGTGTGGGGTTACCGGACGGAGGCCTAATCCTTTACCTCCCCCAATCCCAAATTCTCACACACCCCCAAAAAGGTCAGCAACATACTCGTAACTCGTCCGTTGTTGCGGGTGTTCACAGGCGGCGCTGATTGCTCACTATCAGGTAGTCTAATCGTTTGCTGTACTATATCATTAAAAAAAACTAGCTCTTTCTATTACTACAAAGCACTAACTTCCATCAACATTAAACCAACAAAGTTTATGTATGTAGGTAATAAGTAGTTTTCAAAATTACAACATGTCACAGCATAGCATGCCATACCTTACATGCCAATTACGAATGAAAATGTAACTTACATAATTAAGTTATTATGGCTTTAGCTACCAACTGAACTTCGTTAAGGGAAGATGTAAAACAGAAACCAAATGAGGACTGCTTGCAGAGTAGGAGATAACAGTAATTAGATCTAATGGTCGGTCCAGACGTAGCCGGAGGGTTTTTTCTTCAATTGCACCTTGCAGGAGATAGCACGTCCATCAAATTATATGATAATCGGTCCAAGTTAATTCCATTACCAACAATCTCAGTGTAGCTACCATACTGCGTACAAAGCCACTTACGACCACAGAATAACGAACGTCCTTGAGATAAAAATTTCAAATTCTCAGTCTTCCAATTTGTTTTTAGAGTTAGTTCTTATGCTGTGGGAATTGGAATTCATTTGTTGCAGCAGATATCGCAGGTACCAGGAAAGTTGAATGGTACCCGTCGCTACCATTGCGTCGGATTATGACATCACCATAATTATATATTACAGTGCAATAAAACGAACAGCTTCAATTCGGTAGGACGATGATCTCAACGAAATTCTAATGGAATGATTCTGGGTGACTTAACGAAGGCATTTACGTTTTTTTTTTAAAGATTATAGGTTCGAACAATTTCCATAATTTTATTATTGAAGCATTGCACTCGGCGAAGCTGAGTAGGGTCGCTAGCTAGTACTCAATATACTTTTAGGTGAGGGAAAAGTTTGTTCTATTTTGATGGATCGATGACATTACTTAAATCAAAAGGCTGAGTCCTTTTATATTATGAATACTTTAAATATCGTCTACATAACACGAGTGATCAAAAATCATAAAAAGTCATACGTAACAAAACAATGTACCTATTCAATAAAAAATAAAATGTAAAGTTTGAAAAAATGGCACTCGATCACTTAACAAACAACCATTAATCGAGTTTGGACACTAATAACATAGCGCTGAAGATTAATCGAGTACCCATAGTAATAGAATTCAGTCGCACATGCAACCTGCAAGTTATTATAAAATTGAAGTACGCTTTGATAAATTAGCCCTATCCGTCACGATTGGTCACGGAAGTCTTGACTACGAACCAAATTGTAGGGCCGTGTTTACACTCGTGTTCTGTGAGGCAGTGAAGTCAAAAAAATATTCCATGCGCTTGTGCCTGCTGCGCCATAGATTATGATACGATTCAATTAATATAAGCCATTTGATACGTTGCTGGGAATGATTGATCTGTGAACTCGATAAATAAAAGTTGACCTTAGATTGAGGGTTATCTCAATACAGTTACAATTTCCTTTTTTCATTATAAGATATACATAAGATAAACTCGTCGATAACATTCAAATCATAGCTAATCATTACCTATTGCTGTTTACTGAGTTTTATTCCAGACGTCATAGTTAAAATTGTTTGGCGTTCCAAAAAAATCCTGACGTCACGAAACCAAATGAGAATCTCACATTATCCTA